CAACATATGATACAATTCCATAGACTTTATCTGATGATTTTTCATCAACTGGTCCACATAATCCCAAATCTGTAATATAACAAGCACCTCCTTCCACAAGTATATTACCACTATGTAAATCACAATGGATTAAATCTTTTTCATGTATATCATCTAATGCATAGCATAAATATCTAAATATTGTAATTCTGTCTTTTAATGTTAAATTTAAATAATTTTTTTGTAAATGACCTCTTAAATTTCCATCTAAAGCATAAGATAAAAAACTATTGCATAATTTCCATTATCTGGGAATTTAGTTATACCAAAGCATTGAACCATCAACCCTGATTTAATTTTACAATAATTCATTGCCTGTAATTAAATAAAATCAATTAGTATTATATAATATAGTATTGTTTATTTTGTTTTAAATGACAACTACCAACCTCATCAAAAAAGCTTTTTCCTGGATTACTTGAATCATTTAAACTTTTTAATACTACTCTCGTTCCTCTTAAATAACTAAATTCCTTTTTATTTTCGTCATAATCAACTATTCTTCCTCTTGTCCATGTAGCAGTATAAATTGAACTAAACCCACCTTCTGTCAACTTTGTTACTTTTATGAATTGCTCAAAAGGTATCCATTCTAAAATATACTCTGGCAGAGAAGATTTCATTTGACATTGTTGAATAAAGTTGTCAACTATGTTATTTCCAGATGCCCAAGTGGTAAAAAGACTCTGTAATTGTAAACTAATACAACCTTCACAGAACCTATCAGAATATTTTGTCAATCTACACTTGTTACATTCTTTTGGTTTTCCCTTTTTATCTCTTGCATTCCTTAATTCAAAGTCATAAATAATTTTTTCCCTACAATATTCTTTTTCATTTTCAGAAAGCTCCTTGTTTTTGTTGACTAATGAAAAAAAATAATCTTTTATACTTTCTTCATCAGAATTATTAATACTAACATTACTATGCATTTCATTATGAATTTTAAATACAAATTCTTTTCTTTCTCTTGATAACGATAATAATAATTGAGGATGTGACATTACAAAATTTTGAATTAGTGTTTCAATAAATGAGAATAACTTTTTTTCTTTGTGGAGCGGAGAATTGAATGACGTGTAACAACAATTTTTTCGTACAACAATTTTTTTTTATTTGAACAATCGTGATTCAACAATAAAATAAAAGAAATTCTTTGAAGATTTAAAAGTGATAAAAATAGAAAACAAAATTAAAATTTACAAAAATATGTACCAAAACCTGTCTTATGTGTTATGTAAAGGTCGTTCTAAGTACACATATTGATCAATATATGTTTCTTCAAACTCAGAAACTAAAGACAGCCTAAGCATATTATTGGTATTATTGCGTATTACTATTACGCGTAGCTAACTTTAAAGTTAAAAATCCGAAAAAACATTTACATTTTACAAAATTTAATAATAAAAGAATGTTTTAATTTGTAAAAAAGAAGGGGCATTGTTATTTTGAAAGAAAATATATAAGTAGATTAATTAAGTAAAAGTTCTAATTCGATTATAACATTTGTAAACTCCCATGATAATTATTATTCTTGCATCATTGCAATACGTATACAATGATATAATTCATCCTCAAAACACATTTTTACATAATTTAGAACTTTTGATAATCCTATTTTATCATTATCTTTATTGCTGCTTATATCAAGTGTTTTTACTTACATCAAGTGCTTTAATTATGTCAAATGGTTTTACTTACGTCAAGGGCCTTTACTTTAGTCAAATCGTCAAAATGGCCCTGGTAAGAAACTACCTTTAGTCAATACTTTAGTTACACCAATGACTAAAGTCAAAAGTTTCGTCATACATCATTAAGTTACGTACACAATAAGATATAGGGTTTAAAAAAGGTCTAAAAACCAAATCGGCTGATATGATGTTAATATCAATCCCAATTCAATTCTATATTATATGTTGAAAAGGTTCTCCTTCACACAAAGAAAATATTAGGAATTGAGGATGGAATACGTAGTAGAATGTGATAGTGTTCCATATCATCATATTATCAAATTAATCAGAAATTCCTTGGTTGGTTCTTATTTGGCTTTTGCACAGTTGTGAAACTCCTTAGTTTTGGAAACCAACACTAGTTCATCCTATACTGGACAATTGCATAAAGTGATTTTGCAGAGAAACATTGTGTACTACCCATATCAAGGTTGTTCAACCAGCATCAAAGGTTAGATGCAATTTAGAAGAAGTGAAGAATAAGACATTTAATACCTTCTTGTGCTGCCACAGCTATGTCATGGGAAAATTGCTGCACGTACTAAAATTTTTTCAGGTAACAAACAATATTTATTTTTATATATTTATTCAATTTTAACTACAAAACCAACTTATTTAAAACAATTGGATATACTCGTTCCAATGCTCCAAGAACCAGTCCCGAATCAAGTACAGAATGTCAAAAACTTAGAAGCTCAATTAAGAAATCTTGATTTTGTTAATCTAACAAAACAACATCTATGTATGAAAGCCTAAATGGTGAAAATGAATTGAAAATTATATTGTGAAAAGTATTCAACAATAAAAATACAACCCATTTATCTAAACCTATTCCAATAACCAAAGAAAAAGCAACCGCTCAGGAGGATGAATTAAAAATGATGAAACAAAAATATTGTGGATTTAAATCAAAAAACAAAGGCGATACAAGAGGCAAGATGTTTATTTAATGAAGAAAATGAAATCAATGATTCTGATTTTGTAGAAAGTTCAGTTTAAAATCGTAATAAGTATAATCAAAAGATACTAGCATTTAACTATTAATGTTATAAACATATTAAATTAAAGAATAGTCGAAATTAAAAATTCTATTCAGCATTCCTGATCCTGTTTAATGAGGCCTGTCATAAAATGGTTTTTACTCGAAGTAAATTTCCACGTAATTATTCCAATACTATAAACATTCGGGGGGTTTTTTTTATACGGCATTCCTAATAATACTTCAGATGGCATGTGTGGATGGAAGCACTCTTTCGAAATATTATCTGAATTATTATTATTATTGTTATTGTGGCTTGGCTGACCTAATCCCACGATAATCGCTGTGTAAATCACGATTTTGACAAATAATTATGTAAATCTAGTGGATTCCATAACGATTATCCAATATAATTGTCTTTAGATTTGTAAAGAAATTTAGCGAGTTCTTTATTTCCACTTAATATAGTTAACTTTTTGATTTTAATTTCCATTTCTTTATTTTATTATTTTATTATAATTTGAAATTCTATCATTGGGTAAAAGGAATCTATTTATAAAGTTTAAGTTAATTATCTAAACGTAGAATATTATTATTGTTTCACATCTTTTTCTATTAGGCAATTCATTTCCAAAAAAAAAAATCAACAATTCTATTTTAATGTCTTAACGCCCAGGTGGAATAAAATAATCGAATGCCCGATTTGAGAAATTTTTATTATCAAATTTTTCTTGAAAAAAAATCTAGTTGTTATTAAAAAATAAATTTCCTCGCTTTTTTTCAGATAACGATCACAAGGAGTTAGATTTTTAATTTGTAGTTACGTGAACGCTGGTTCTGTAAATATAGCTAAAGGTGATTATAGTAAAATAAGTTAATGAAATATACCAAAGGGATTTAAATAATAATTATATATGTATATGTATATATAGTATGTATATTTATATATTTTTTTATCAAAGATTTGGAATATTGAATTTTTTTTAAAATGATTTACTAATTGTATTAGAAAAGATTATATTCCAGAAAGCGCCTCAACATTAGTATAATTTCGAAATTATATGATGCAATCTAAGAATTCATAGTATCCTTCTTCCTTTAATCTTGAATGATTAGTAACAAGAATGAATAGTTGTAATAACAACGATGGAAGTATTCGATTCCCCACACTTCTGCCGAACGCTAGTTCAGTTGCTCCATAATTTTTCTGTTCTTTCAGCAAACTATTATTTGCATAAGAAATTACATGTTCCTTGCTATTATCATCTACTTGTGCTGATACTGTACCCAGTCCTTCATATGAAGCGTTTTATTAAGATCTGGATAGATCAAGGTTGGCGCAGAAATCAAACGTTCTTTCAAACAATCAAAAGGTTTCTGTTGTATATCAGTTCAGTCAAAGGAGCATTCTTTTAAGTGAGTGAGTAATACAGAAGTTGTGCAAATTTTTGACAAATTTACGATAGTAGGATGCTAAACCTAAGAATCCTCTCGATTTTGTAGTGTTAACTAACTGGTTGTGGATATTCCTTTCTTTTTCGATTTTTGATGGATCCATCCCCACCAATTACATGTCCTAAGAAAAGTGAGACTTGGTTTCCAAAATAACATTTTTCTGCGTTTAAATTTAGTTCCGTACTTTTTATTCTTTCGAATACTTGTTGGAGTCGGGTCGTGTGATCTTAAAATATATATTAGATCCAGGTAGACATACTAAATTTTTCCACAACATACCATGTACATTTGATCCAGGAGCATTGATAAGACCAAATGACATTACTTTGAATTTGTAGTTACCATATTTGATGGTGAATGTGGCTTTGTATTTAACTTTGTGACTCGTAACATACCATATATTCGTGGGAGGGGTAAGCATCTTTTTTGTTATTGAATTTAATTTTCTATATTTCACACAAAAACGTGATTTCTCATTCTTCTTCTTACTATTACTACTGGTAATGTCCATAGATTGGTGGATGGTGCAATAAAATTATTGTTCAGGATTTTATTGAATAAATTCGTTTTCGTGATACTCTATAAGGGCGTTACTTAATAAGTTTTCATCACGGTATCTATAGAATGGCAAGCTATGATTCATCTCTTGCAAAAATATCTTGACATTCTTCAACTAGTTTATAAAACTTCTCTTTCTGAGGAGTAGTTAATGGGCCAACATTTAAATTAACTCGTACACTTCTAAATTCGAGTATTTCTACCTCAATGTATTGATTGACTTTATCATTTCAACGCAGGATTAAAATTATCAGCATACAAATTTCCTTCATACCCTTCTTCAATTTTTTCTCCTCCTTCTTCATCATTTTCAGTAGTTGGACCACAATACTCCTCTTTCGCAAATCTAACATTGTTTTGCCTAATATAGTGGGTATTTATAATGTTTTTCCCTTTCTACATTATTGTCAGCTTAGAAGAGTTTCAATCGAACTGTGTATATTACTAACCTTCTTCAACCCAGCAGTAATTGATGTTATTAACGTCAGTCGTATCAAAAGAGATGGGAGTGTAAAAGGCTCCAATACAAATGGAGAAATAATTAATCTTTCCTAATGGTCTTGGTAGACTTCCTACAGCTTTAATAAGAGTATTGTTAGTAGTTTGTTCAATTTCATATCCTAATTCATCAAGTAGGAGCTTCGAAACAACACTAGAAGCAGCTCCGTTATCTATGGTTGCAGCCACAACAGCATTTTCAATGATGACTTTTTGTCTGAGTTATCCTCGAATTTCTTGATTCAGTAGCATAATATTAACTACTTGATATTTTTTAGGTTTTCTGAATCCTTGTAATAATTTAGGTACTTTTAATAACTGAGCCTACCCCATGTCAACTTTACTTTCTTCCAATCCATTCCAAATATCGAATTCTTGTACTTTGCTCACTTTTCAACTGATTTTCAGGTTGTTTAAGTTCTTTAGATTGTTGACGACTAGAAGTGGATGTCGTCAAGGATTAGAGTTTGTTGATTGTCTTGACTTGCTCTTTTCTCAGACATGAATTCATGTAGTCTATTTTGGTGATCCATCTTTTCAAGTTTGACTCTTTTCTTGACACGGATTTTGATTTTAATTTTGCTTTTAACTTCATCTCGTTTTATTTATCTCTAGTGTAGGTTTTGAATCTTGTAGCAGCAGCAAAGACATCATATTCAGAACTATTATATTCTTTTCCAAATGAAAGAATTTCTTCATCAAGCACACACTCGCTTTCTAAAGGTGTGCTGAGAAGTTTAAATGTTGATGATTCATTTAGTGAGTATTACGATTATTAGGATTATTATAATTATTGTATTAGGATTGGGATTATTATGACTATTGTAACTTACTCTTTATCTCATCTGGCTATTGTCGCTATTAGTTCTACTAATGCTCAGATTATTAGTGCAATTTCTTGACAAATGGCCTGGATTACCACAATTGTAACTGAATTAGGGCTTCTTTTGCGAACCATCGTAAGTATTGTGATCATTATAATTTCTCGTATGAGTTAATACGATCTTGTGTTGTCAAAACCCCAGTCAACTCAGCCAGATTCAGAGTCATCCTAGTAAACTTCACTCCAAATCATTAATTTGGTTCACTTGTCCACTAAGGGATGCTGATGCGCTTGATGGAATAGATCGAGTGTAAGTTTGGCCAGTTTCAAGATTTCTTGCTGCATCAATTGTACCATCTAATGTACTAATATCCATTGCTACTAGGTAAGTTGCATGACGTGCTCTTGGGCCTTGTAGGAACATAAGAGACTGATAATTCTTCTTCCAAATCAACCCTTTCATTAATTTGATCTAGCTGTTGGATCAGATTCATTAGTTCTTTATTCCAACGTGTGATACGTGCTTCCTCCATGAAACAGGTTTCAAAAAGGGTGACAAAGCTTCCCTTCTCATTATTATTGTTTAATTACTTTAAGATACCATTTCCTCAATCAGATGATATCAACTTTCTTGTTGTTTTCCAGTTATTCTTTGCCCTTTCAGAATTCATTCAAACTAGCTCATTCCTTCAACGATTGGTGGTTTTTTGTAATGCTTCATTCAATTATTCTGTGATGTTGTTGATTTAAAAAAATAATAAAAGAAAATAATATTTTATCTATTTTAGGTAAAGCTTATTCAATAACGTATCAATTAAAAAGAAAATGAAACAGAATTTGGATTCGTTTATTCACCAAAAATGTTGGAAACGTGAGCACGTGACATGAAATGTAAAACGTGAGAATAATAGTAAATGATTCAATCATACAATGATTGTGGAAAAACAAACATTTATTGAAGTAAGAAATATGTATTATTAAAACTCCAACTCAAATTTTGCTCACCTTATATATATAAATATAAAGAGTTCTTTGGCAATTATGAAATTTCTACAATTTCTACTACAACAATTGCTTTCTTTAAAAGTTACCATGAGTCCTTATTTGTTCAATATTAATTAATTATCGAACCGACCATAACAACGTTAATTATTAAAAACATAATTAAAGAAAAAAACAATTCCTAGAATGTATATTTAAATATATTCCTCGAATACAATATTCCTATCTCAATTCTTGATCAAACATTCTATTATCAACAGTCTCAGTGTAGAATCGCCACAGCATACTAAAATCTTGACTTTACAAATGCTTTCAGATTGCTCTGCCTTTTCCAACGCCCGGCCAAAACGTAATTGCATTGACCAAGTCTGCAATTATCTAGGAAAGGAAATGATGGTCAATTCATAAAAATCATATATACACGTATACTATAACAAATTTTAGTAAACGTCTTTGTTCTATAAATTAAGTAGCACACCAAAATCAAGTCTCAATTTTCGACTCTTCAATAATACACTGACTAGATAATAACAAATACTTATCTAATTCAGGTTAGCAATGTCACGGCCAATGATCCCTTCAAAAAAAGATAGAAGGTTGTCGACTCGTTTGAAAAAAGTATCAGCTGGGGATCAAATAAATTTTACGATTCAAGAAAAATTCATTATATGTAGATGTATCTAATATTATATATATATATATAATATTAGAAAAATTTTTTTAATAAATTTATTTCTAATCATTAAACATTTGTTTACCTCTTATTCTAGAAATTCCTTGTGCTTCACCCAAATTAATAAATCCATCATCATTACTTGAAGAAATTATTTCACTCTCATCTTCCCATTTATTACGACAATAAACACAAGTAATCTAAATCAACAAACAATTGATTAATTATTCATATGATATCTCAATTATATAAATATTCTTTCGTTCATTCCTACCTCATCGCCACTGCTACGTTTTGAAGATTTCCATTGGTCGAAACAAACCTCATGAACATTATTTCCACAAGAATCCTTACACCAAACAAGTTTTTCAGTTTCCGACAATGTCTCATAACTAAAATCAGAGATTTTATAATTTGAATAATCAAATTATTTATTATTAATAATACTATAACACTAATTGCAAACGTACCAGATGGGACAATCACCCTCAATTGGTTGACGAGGTCTTTTAACACTACTAGCATCATCACTACCAGAGTTAACACCACCAACAATCTTTGCATATTTATCACGAACTCTTTGATTCGCCTAATGAGCAGTGAATAAATGAATGAATAAATTATTAAATTATTAAATTATTAAATTATTAAATAAATTGATATATTTAATTAACTTACCAAGACAGTTGGGTTTGGTGCTGCATTTTGGAAGATTTGTCTAAGTTCGTTAGTCAATAATGCCTTTTGATAAATGTAACTGCTACTAGGATTAACTCTAAGAACCTTCAAGTATACAAATAACTATTTATATTTATATTTTATATCAAGAAAATTAATTGATGATAATTGTGAAATGAAATAAATAAATCATTAAAAAATTATTATTAACTTACAATATGTTTACAAAGATTTCCCCCTATTTGGAATATGAAGGAAATAAAATAAATAAAAATTAAATGTTCGCCTTTTTAAAAAATAAATTACTAAATTTCTAATTTTACCTCTCGAAAAATCAGGACAACTACATTTAGGAAGAGTCGAAATCTCAACATTATAAACCTTTATTTTAAATATTTTAAATAATTAATTAAATAAACATATATATATATATATATATATAAATATGTAAGTAAATAAATGAAATAATAATATTTTTATGATATTTACATTTCCAATTGATCCTAATACTACAAACTTGTGATATGATTCACTAACTTCAGATCTATCAACCAGGAACATCCTTTGTGACATTGCACGCTCAATACGCTCTTTTACTTTCTATAAATAGTGAATACGATTAATTAACATTAATATCATTAAAACATTTATAATTTAATATTTTACCATTGAACAACTACGACGAATCATCGCAAGGCGTTTTTCTCCAGGCTCCTTAGCTATATTTGTATCTAAACGCGCTTTTTTTTTGTCTTTTTTTTGTTTAACAGTTGGAATTTCTTTGGCTTGGTCTGCGTTATTATTAGTACTTGAGGAAGAAGGACTAGTAGCAGTGATTCGTTTTTCATCTTGCTTCTTGATTTTCTTTGCAGGTTAGAAAGTGTATATAATAATTTGGATCAATCTATTGAACATTACTTAAATATGTGTAATTTCATGGAACGTAT